GGAAGCAGATTAAAATATCTAGCCACATGCTTAATCCTACTCCTTCGTGTTAATCAATTGAGACTATTTTGGAATCAAAGATGACCAAACTTTGAATTCTTCAGGAATCCTATCTGTAGCACATTAATCCTTGGACTCAAGTAGCAAAGAAGTAAACTGGCCTAGGAGGGGGAAGTAGATGCACTAAGGGTATTATATTTAAGTTAAAATACCAAAGCTTATGCCAGACACAAATTGGACCAGTGGAGATATACAGTGAGAGCTCTTTACACTGCAATTGTGGTAAAAGGAAGACTTCCTAGACAGACACTTCCTGTTCTTTCTATTTTAAGGCAGTTACAGACTAATGTGGAATTACAAAAATAATATAGAGAGGTCCAGAATATTCTGTACCCAGTATTCTATATTGGTTATATTTTACATTCTATCGTACAATATCAAAACTAGGAAACTGACATTGGTACAATATGAGTTCTATGTTCATTTTATCATGTGTAATCACAATATCATCAAGATCCACACTATTCCATTACCACAGAGATCTCCCTTCATATACCCCTTTAGAGTCATGTATCTCCTTTCCCCACCACCCTCCCAAATCCTGGGACAACCATTAACCTGTTCCCTATCCCTGTAATTTTTAGACAGATAGCCTTTACTGCAGGGAGGGAAATTTGATCTCATTTATTCATTCACATATACAAGTATGTAAGTGTTATTTCTTCTGTTTTCATTAAAAAGATACTGTGGGGCCAGCAGGTAGCATGGAGGTTAAAGCACTAGATCCCACATGACTGGCTGCACAGTTCCAGTTCTGGACCCATTGTTTTGAAAATCATGCTGGGCACATGTGTGTGCATGCCCACAATCCTGAGGAGACTGGTAGAGAAGGCATTGCAGTGTGGCTGTCCTCCCCTGGGGGATGATTCCTCACTTTCCCTCTCTCTCTGACTCTCCGATAAGTTGTATTCACCCTTTAATGAAAACTAAAATGAAGTAAACACAGTGAATAAATTAAAAAAAAAAAAAAAGAAGTTACTGTGTGGAGCCAGCAGATAGTGTAGGAGTTATGTTGCTGGACTCCCAGATGGCCAACCATGGTTTGAATCCCAACTTGGTGACTTTAAACTCATGCTGGGTGCACGTGAGTGCATGCTCAAGATCCCAGGAGGAGAAAAGAGAAGAGATTGCAGTGTGACCATTTCCCCCCCGGGAGGGTGCCTTTTCTTGCTTTCTTTCTCTCTTGTCTCTCTGACAAGTACACATGCCCTACAACAAAACAACAATAAAAAAACAAGCTCTCCAAAAAAAAGATATCATGATTGAGAAATTACAAACTTTTTCAACTGGTCTGTGGTATATTTTATGTTGGGTAAATTCTCTCTACAAGCTAAAAGATGTATAGCAATTGAATGTATAAAATAATAATAATAAAATAAATAATTATGCTATTGTTCATTGAGCATTAACTATGGGCCAAGAAGTTTTAAACCCTTTTATATTATTACATATAATATTCCTAACAACTGTATGACCAGTGTCACTAACCTCATTTCATAAAAGAAAAATCTGAAGTTTTGAAGGAGAGAGAAGTATTTACTCAAGGCCAGACAGTTGACAATGCTGGATTTCAAACCTGTGTTAGTTTAGTCAGGCTTAAATACCTATAGATTCAGATACCAGATTATAAAGTCTCTCCTTTACATGGATAATAGCAAAAGGGAACAATTACCATCTTCTGAAGCAGTATGAAGTTGAGTATTCATCACCAATAAATATGCCCAATAGTGTCCAACTTGGGTTGGGTTCTGAGTTTCAAAATAACATCTTTTCTTTATCCATGATAGAGCGCATGTGTGCATGAGAGAGAGAGAAAGAAGAGAGAGAGAAGCACTCTCTGAACACCTTCCGCAGAATCTGGTCACACTGTGATCTCTTCTTCCAGTCAAATCTGTCAGATCATGGGCACTCTCACACACGTTCCTGATGTGGTTCAAACAACCTGCCTGGCCATGTGAACTGCAGTTGCTATGTGATAGCTCCCTTCTCTTGAGTAGTGCATTGTCACTGTGCCATGGATCTGACTCTCAAAATAACAATTTTTCAGATCACCTGAAAGTTAGAAGTTCCAATGAACCTGGTCTCAAAAACATTTAAAACCAACCTTTTAGAGTTTGTGGAGTACAAATTTTTTAAATAATTATTTTATTTTATTTTTTATTTATTTTAATTTGACCATGGTGTGTGTGGGAGAGAGAGAGAGAGAGAGAAAGAGAGAGAGCAAGCTGCCAGGTCCAGGACTTGAACCATAGTCAGCCATGTGGGAGTCTAGCATCCTTAACCATCACACCACCTGCCAGTCCCAAGTGGAGTACAATTTTCTACCCATAAACTTAAACTGTGGAAAAGGAATGATTTGAAAATTGAGATGTCTCTAGAGGAGTTTGAGCAATAATTAGCATTCTTCGGAATGCATTTACACGTCTCCTCACTAAAATTCCTAAGGTTTTATGTGATGAACCAGGGAATTCTGTAGGTGATGTTTGTCCTTACTCAGAAGAAAAAAATACAAAACTCATGCTTCTTAGGCAATTTTAAAGGAATAGGCTGTAAATCGAGTGTGAGTTTTTCTTCTCTCCCAAAGTACTTGCTCTTGAGTAAAGTTGCTAAGCAGAACACGAACTAAGATTCCCAAAAAAGCATTAATGAGAGCTCAACTTGCTTTGCAACTGATTACACCACAGTCTGTTATTCTAATGATTTAAAACATGGAAATACTTCATTTACAATATTGTCACTTGAAGACTTGGACTTGTTTTTAAAGAAATGACAGCCTGGGAAGCAGCCAGTCCCAAGGTATCTCTCTCTCACACACACACACCCACACGCACAAATGATGCAGCAAAACATAAGGAAAAATATTTTCTTTGTTGAGTTGTAAGCATACCCCTAAGAGAAAGCAGACATACAAGATTCCAGGTTTTGACAGCATTTCTCATTACTATTAACTTTTAACCAAACTTTTAAAGCAAAACATACAGACAGAAAAGTACACAAATTGCAAGAAATTGTAGGTGTACAGCAGAAATTTATTTTTACAAAGGAAACATATTCTCATAGCCACTATTCACATCAAGAAAGAGAATATTAAAAGCATCCTAGAAGTCCCTTTCTTACTTCCTTTCCAGTTACTATCCCCCAAAATAACCACCATTGGAATTTCCTTTACCAGGGATTGCTTTCATCGTATAGAATTCTTATTTCACTTCATTGCTATTTATTGTTGTTGCCTGAAGTATAGTGAGAATCTTGGGCTACTTCTTAAGCAAAGTTTAAATAACAGATCTCAAATGGGAATTTTTCAAAGTTCATGGAAAATGCATATTATGAAAAAACTATATGTGAATTTTAATCTTTTTGGCACCAAAATAAACATTTTCCAATGAACTTCTTGAACCCCTCCACACATTTTTGGAGTGCTTCTCAAAACGTGACCACAGGCTGGCAGCATCAGTCTCACCTGTAAACTATTAAGAATGCAAATTATTGGTTCTTACCTCAGATCTACTTATTTAGGAATTCTGGAGGTAGAAACACAATTACCCTCCAGATAAATCTGATGCAATGAAATTAAAGGAAAAAAAATTAGAGAGATTTTTGCTATAGGGTGCATGCAATCACCAGAGAGACAGAAAGCAAGAAATCACCCCCCAGCGGGCTGGGCCGTGCCACAATCCCTTCTCTGTTCTCCTCTCTGGATTTTGGGAATGCACGCATGTGCACCCAGCATGAGATTTAAGCCATCAGGTCTAGACTAGAACCACAGTTGACCAGGTGGGAGTCCAGTGACATAAACATTATGACATCTGCTGCCCCACCCCTTTTTTTTAAGAGAGAGAGGCAATGGGATTTTGAGAAGAGCTGCTCTATAGGTTCACAAGAAAAGGCCATGGCCTTGGTTTTTGCTTGGCTTCCCAATGGCTGAGATGGACATGCTGAGTGGTAAATTAAATTCCTCTCAACCAGCCCTCAAAGGAAGAACACAGAAGACACAGAGTGGACTGTGTTTTTTTGCAGGAAAAAAAAAAAAGTGCAAGACTCTCAAGCAAAAGTTCTTTGAACACCCTTAAACAGGCTATTTTTTTTTTTTTGAGAGGTTTTTGCTATAGGGCGCGTGCGCTCGCCAGACAGACAGAGAGAGACAGAGAGACAGAAAGGGAGAAATCACCCCCCCAGGGGGGATGGCCACACCGCAATCCCTTCTCCTCCATTCTCCTCTTGGGATCTTGGGCATGCACGCACACACGCCCGGCATGAGTTTAAGCCACTGGGTCCGGGACTCGAACCGCAGTCGACTACGTGGGAGTCCAGCGACATAGCCATTACGCTAACTGCTGGCCCCAACAGGCTATTTTTTAAAAATAAAATTATTTAGTTAAATACAGATGCTTGGACCTACCCCAGACTTACTGAGTAAGACTCTCCAGAGGTGGAAACCTGAATATATGCTCTAAATGTTCCACAGATTATGCAGATTAAGGACCACTGCAGCCTTTCTGAGTTTTAGCTTGGGCCCCCTAAAGAGCAATGTCTATTGGGGGTTGTCATCGAA